CAAGCTCCTGCCTCCCCTTCTTAAACAAAGGTCGTTGTATAGTTGGACATCCCCTTCTTTCTTCTCGTCGTTCCCTAGGGTTAGGGTTAAAATTATCAACATGTTGGCGTTGCTCTTACTCTCGTTGTTAAGGCTGATCTTGATCGCGCCTCTTCAATGCCTTGGTCTTAGCTATAGTTGTTGCTTGTTCTTGAAGTACGGTTGCTAGTTGTGCGGTGATTTTTGTTAATTAGGAAGATAATTACTCGCATAATTGAATTGCGTTCTCTTGAGAAAATTAACCTAGATTATCTATGGAATATTCATTTTTATTAATTCTCCTTCTTATTTTCGTATCTAGAAAAGATGCGAAATAAATAACTCAAAATAAATTTCAAACCTATTCGTTCATGCACCCTATCTTAGACGCTAATCTCTTGGTTTAAGACCATCCCAATGCCTATCATTCCCCTATTTCATTGATGACATGGCAACCAAATGAGATATTTCAGCGATGTGGGAATTATTTCACAAAGTGGGATCTTCCACTTTATGGAATAGCAGATGACATAGCGAGTGGGAAGGGAGTTGGCCCCCTTCCCATCTTTCGCTCCTTTTTTTGCATTTTATATTTTTATTTGATTTGAAAAGAGTTTAATTGTATTTTTAACTTCTATTTATCATTAGATAAATTTATTAATTATTGATTAACTAATTTTTAAAATTCAGAAAGTGCAATATGAAAATAAAGAACACATACACATATATAGATATAAAGATGTCACAACTACATTTAAATACAAATTAAATAACGAATAATTAAACATACATAAAATGGTGCATGTATACAAGTCTTAAACTGTAACACAAAACAAATACGCGTATGACAATACACACCTACATAAATTATTCAAGCATAAATAGAATCACTAATCGCCCAGTATGTCATCGTTGGTAGATCCATTTCCATCAATTCCATCATTAACTTATCTCTCTTGTGAATATATGGCTTTAATTTGACGAGAACCTCGAACTCGGACTAATAAATCAAAATTTCACAACGTCGAACTCTTTTGAGGTTTTCTCCTTTCTTGAATAATACAAACAATAAAGATAGGATGGAAATTGATCAAATAATCCCGAACTTGTGGGAATGGCCAATCGATATAGTCGAACTCGCCACAACTAGATGTGATCTTCTAGTTGATAAGAGACACTCTCAAACCCCCTGAATCCTCAAAGGAACTTAAAGTAAACGTTCACAAAGAACACGAGTAATCACTCTCCAAAATAACTAAAATCTAAATGAATCCATTATAATGGTTTGGCCCCTTCAAATGGGCAAAAGAACCCAAAAAACAAACTACAAAAGATAATAAAATCCTACTCTAAAGAGGAAAAGAAATCCTTAACAAACAAGTAAAAGACTAAATCAAACTTCTCCTTATTCCATGCCTTCAAATCGGCCCCTTTTGTTCACACTTGGGATTCCATTAACAGTTTCATTCCTTTCACACCATGAGAACCCCTTCTAGGTCGGAGTCATCTTCTCTTCATTTTTGTCCTAAATCGTTTCAATGTAATGGGCTCTCCTTCTAGCAACTCCACATTCATGTCTTTCAATTGTGGACCCAAATAACTTGCAATTTGCTCCCTTAGAGCCTTTGCTTGGCACGAGTCATTGAACCATCTTCTTGAGCAGGCTTGGTCTTGATGACCTCATCACTTGTATGCTTCTTTCTTCCTGTCTCGTTCCTCCTCTAGTCTTACTTTCGCAACCGTGAACTCTTTCATCGCCTCTACCTTTCATGTTTCAATAATGATTTGTTTGTGGCACCGATGCTTTCATACTTTCCGTTGAATCATATTACATAAATGATTTTTTGTACCTTTATCCTTTGAAGCTTTTCTTCATGGAGGAAGAGAATGAGACACAACCTCACAATTTCTGGCGGGAGACATGCTTGTGTTATGATGAAGTATATTGGCCTGAAGCAGTATGTTTATTTCTCTTTGATCCTCTATCTTCATCACCATCAATTGCTTTGGATTTGGATTGACTAGACCAGTTCTTCTCATCCTGTAAAGCATTCCAAGCATGCATGAATATAATTTTTTACCTGTCAGAGTCTAGAATAACTTCAATGCTCTGTTCCTTCTTCTCGTTTATGCCACTCTCTCTTCGATGTTGGACTTGTTCATAGCAACCAACGAACTTTGATACGTCTTGGTTGAACAATATATTATTTTAATTATGTGATACATCTTAAATTGGTAAAATAATGTATGTTAGATAAAGTATATAGTTGTATTAAAAAAATATGAGTTAGGCCCACCATATGAAATAGATAGTGGATATAATTGATGTAGAGGAAATGAAAGTGAGATGATCAAGGAAATAACATTGGTATTTGAGGATGGTCTAAGTTTTGGAAAATCCTATTATGTGATAGGGGTGGGCATCGGTTCGGTTCAATTCAAACCGAACCAAACAAGAGCATACCGATACCCCTATAACACCAACTGGGCAAATCAATCCCAAACTGAAATATACCTCGGTTCGGTTTGGCCAAGCGAGATATATATATGTTCAGTCCAATATACCCAACAAAACCGAAGCTTCTCATTCTTTCTAAATTCTCATTTTCCACAAAAACCCTACCTTGGTCAGTTGCTATCCCCTCCCAACTTCTCTCTTTCCTCTCCTTCTCGCCTTCTTCTTCTTCTTGTTGTTGTTGTTCTTCTTCTTCTTCTATTTGGATTTGGATGCATGTGGGTTTTTTTATGTTTGTAATTGGGTTTCTGGTCTCGAGGAGCTCGACCGAGAACAAAGGGGGAAGGAATGATAGTGATTGACAACGAAAGGGGAAAGTCACAACTCACAGGCGCCACCAGCAGCAGCCATCGCCGATGTAGCCGCTGTCGTGCAAGGCAGTAGTTAGGGCTGTCAACCGGTCGGTTTCGGTTTAACCGAAAACCAATTTCTCGGTTTTCGGTTAAACCGAGACTAGACCAGCTCTTACCGCCAACCGACCGACCCTGTGCATCGGTTATCCGTAAAACCGACCGAGCAGTTTCGGTTAATACACGGTTAACTCGGCGCAACTGAGATAGAAGGGGACGGTTCGGTCTGCTGTGGAACCCGACCGAAGACCGACCTTTAACCGGTCCAAACAGACACGAACACAATCGATTTGAACTGGAAAGAACCAAGATGAACAGCAAAGGGGAGACAGAAAACGAATCTGGAACTTCAATATTATCGATCTCGGATGAAGAAACCTCCATGGTCATGCTCAATAAGCAAAACCTTACTCAATTTGAATTGCAGGCTCCCTCAATCGTTCACAGAGTAACTTTCCGCTGCTGGGTTTTGATCTGACGAGGAAGAAAGACGAAGAGGGAAGTTCGGGGACCGCGGAATCTTCCATGGAGTCGGGATCCGAGAAGGCCTCAGCAGAGATAGATTCTTTAGATCTGGGATGTCATAATTCAGTTGACCTTTCCCTTCAAATCTAATTGCAACCAGGTGATACTCTGCTACTACTCTGCAACAGCAGCAAGCTTAGCCGCGACGGAAGGAGAATAGCCAGAGCCAGATCCAGATCCGAATTTGTTGGGAGCTCCGCCGCCTCCAGAAGGCGCCAATTGATGACTATTTGACTCAGCCAAGACAAGCGACTTGTAGATCTGGAGGATCATCTTCTAATCGTACTCCTTAACCGCCCTCCTCCCAAGCGACGAGACCCCTCGCCGCCGTAACCCGCGGCGCCGACCATCCCGCCGCCGACGATGGCGTGCTAGCGGCGGCTGTGCTCTGGCCGACGACGATGGCGACTCTGGTCTGGTCTCCGAGGAATTCGCCAATCGCCAGTAACGAGAGAGAGGTCGGAGAAGATGAGGAGGAGGAAGGAAAACGAGAGGGATGGTTTCTTGGCGGCTGTCCACGATTGAGCCGAGTGACTAGGGTTAGGGTCGTTTCTCACTTGCCAAAACGACGTCGTATAGCTCGGTCGGTTAGAGCCGGTTAGCCGGTTAACCGACTTCGGTTACTCGGCTAACCGCTCGCCCAGAACCACTTACCGCCCACCGACCGAGACTGCTTTCCTTCGGTTTTCGGTTAGCCGCTAACCGGCGGTTACCGGTTAGACCGACCGGTTAGCCGCTAATCGGAAACCGAAATGACACCCCTAGCAGTAGTAGATCCGAATCCCTACTTCTTGACAAATATGATTGTGTATTTGTTTGTGTTTCTGTTTTCATTCAGATTTTTTCTAGACTTAGTAATATGGGATTTTGTTTTGGTTGATTTTTTGGATTGAATGACAGGCGAGGCAAGGAGAAGAGAACAGAGAGAAGGGAAATCGGAATGGCATCTGCGACGAGGCATGATTTAAAGGAGGTTGGCTGCTCTGCTGACCACTGGGGTCTAGGCCCTGGGGAGTGGTGAGGCAGTTAGGGATGGGATTAGGGTTAGGACCAATGATGTGGGCTGGTGAATGGTGATTGATAGTGGGTGGGTTGGGTTGGTGTTGATAAATGGTGGGCTGGTGATTGATAGAGAGTGGGCTGGGGGGGAGGGTGGGGAGTTAGTTGGGCTTGGGAAAGAGGGTGGGCTTATTTAATTTAATTCGGTTGGTCGGTTCGGTTGTTCAGAATTCGGGTTTGGTGTGCAGACCCTGGGTTCCGAAATAGTGGGTTTTGCTAGGGGTGGCTATTTGGTTTGGGTTTTTTTGTTTTACCCAAAACCGGACCTATAGTGATTCAAACAATTAGATAGTTACATTCTGGAATTCAACCGGGTAAAAAAATAAAATAAAAACGACTCATAATCGAATACAAAAAGAGGACATTTCTAACCACGGTATGGGCTACCACCTGTCACATAGTGTGTGACTGGTATCTGTTATATGAATATCTGAATCTGAACTGCCGTGGTGGTGGAGGAGACGTGGGACCCACAGGTAACTTAGAAAAAGGGATCTTTCCGTCATCATGAACTCCGCCACCTTGGCCCAGCAGGGATATTCCCGTCATTTGCGGCGTGGCATTTCGGCCTATAAAGTCCCCTCCTCCCAGTCCCACCACCTCTCTCTCATTTCTTCCCGTCACGAAAAGAAAAGAAAAGAAAAGAAAAGAAAAAGGTAGAGTCGAGAATTATGAAGTGGCTTGTCGTCGTCTCCCTTGTGGCGATTATTACGTGTTCATTCTTCCCGGCTCCCGGGCATTGCCGGAGTCAGGCGGAGAAGCTGAAAAAGCTTTTCCATGCGAAGCTGAGGAATGAGATTAAGACGTCGCAGTTCAAGGCGGAGGAGATGGATTCTAGAGTAGTGGTAGAAGCAGCGGGAGGGAACAAGGAGGCGGACCTGATCGTCCGGTTGCCGGGACAGCCGCTGGTGTCGTTCAAGCAGTACGGTGGGTATATTAAGGTGGACCCTTTGAACGACAGGAACATGTATTACTACTTTGCCGAGGCTCAGCACCCGGAGAAGGACCAATTGCCTCTCGTTCTCTGGCTCAATGGAGGTAAATTGTTATTTAATTATTATATGTTCATAAATCTATCTCTAGGTTGGAAGCAAGCACTTGCGTCCGTTCCATTCTATTTATTATTATATATATTTCATGCATGTGGGTCGTAGTGCAGTGTATATGCGGCCGCGATCTGCGTAGCCGTAGATTGATCATTTAATTCACTTATATTAATTAATTTAAGATGTCCTTCGAGTTGACCTCGATTATACATTTTTTTCCAGGTGATTATTTGTTTGTTAATTTCGTAATAAGGTATTTAATTAGGTTGTTATATCATTCACTTTTGAGTTTTGACGGGCCAGTAAGTCAGTAGATCTCTTCGTGATGATTAGATGAGATATCTAACCCTTAATCAACGCATTAGTTAGTTGAAACTTAGACAAGTAAGGAAGGTGATCGATCACTCAACCTTTTGGAATAAGGAAAAAAGAAGAATTAGCTAGGGTAGAAGCTAGCTGGCTTATTGATTGGTAGGGATCGAAAATGATTGGTTCCGTGGAGTGTAATGGGAATGAAGGAAGGAAGGAAGAGATATTCACATCACATGGCCAGCTGTTATTTCATAATCATAAGGGGATTTCTCGGCGCCTAAGCTTCAATTCAATTGGTCGATCGATTGGACGCTGTAGCTAATTTAATAATTCACCCCATCCATAGGGAATGGATCAGGTGAATAACTTTATGGTGAGTAACCATGAGTAACCCGTCCACATCAGCATGACATCAGCATCTTCTCTCTCATTAAAAGCCTTTAATTTTTCCCTCTTTAATCTTTTACGGACGATTTCTCGCTCATTTTAAGTCGAAATTTAATTTTTTTTGCACAGTTAGATCAGATTAATTGTGCTCTTCAAAATGATATCCACTTTAATATATTTTTCGAACAAAAAAAATTGAGCCATTTTTTACCAGCCTATACCATATGGTATTGACTGGTATTGAAATAAAAGCATACCTATGTTTTGAAAAACGTACCATGGTGGTATGAACAAACCAATACTGTAGGATGGTTGAATACATGATAGTAGAAGTATATTAATTGTAATTTACTACTTTTAACATTGTATACCACACAATACCACCCCGTACCAGGGTGGTATTGTATGGTATTGTGTGGTATTTTTTGGTCCTGTAATTTGTTCACCCAGAAATTTGTAGATCCAATAGATCATGATGAACTCGTCCCTTCTGTGCAAACGTTTTCAAAAATGAATTAAAAACGAAGAAGATACCATACAATACCACCCCGTACCAGGGTGGTATTGTATGGTATTGTGTGGTATTTTTTGGTCCTGTAATTTGTTCACCAAGAAATTTTGTAGATCCAGTAGATCATGATGAACTCATCCCTGCTGTGCAAACGTTTTCAAAAACGAATTAAAAACGAAGAAGATACCATATGGTATGCAGTTGGTACCGAGAGGCCAGAATTTTTTTTCCTAAAAAAATATTGAAAATTGATCTCATTTTGTAGAGCACGGTGAACTCGTTCCATCTGTGCAAAAAAAAATTAAAATCCGAGTTAAAACGAAAAAGATATGAGTCAATTAAGAAAGCTAGTGAAAATAAAAATAGTCTTTAATTCTCCATCCTTAGATCTGGATTTTCTAAATGAAGGGTCCAGATTTGGTTATTGATGGGTGCATAACCATGGGTTATGCACCCAATCTTGAGCCCCATCCATAACTACTGCAGCAACCCTTCTGCCATTGTTAATGAATTTCTACATCATGATTGTGCAAACAAACCTACATCTAGTTTTCTCAAGGTTAGTCTGAAAAGTATATATGTATATGGTTCAAACTAGCGTATGTCAGGTGTAAATGTTCACACTATTATACGTTCGTCGAATTTTACTATTTAGATCACGAATTAATTGGAGTTTGAGACATGATACTATATCCTAACCTCTAATGAGTGAACCTCGGTCCCTAATTCTCTAACTCGAGCCACAAGATTCATTTAATCTAAATAAATAATAACCGACGGTTCTAAACTCCGACCATTAATCTCAACTGTCAATTCTTGTTTTCTCTTAAATTGAACTTCGGGTTTGGGTTTAGAGAATCGAGGCCTAGAATTTATCCATTAAAGTTAGGTTGTAGTATCATGCTCCAAAGTCCAAACTCAATTTAATTTATGGTTTCGATAAATTTATCTCAGTAGGAGTATCTGGTGCATGCGATGATTCCCTTTATGTCAGGTATTGCTATTATCAGTAATTGATATCTATTTATCTATCTTTGACTCATAATTATGTGTTGAACTTCAAACTATAGATAGATATATTCTTCTGATAAGTGGGCCAGTAAAAATTAGTTTGTTTCTTCTCGTAGTATATGTGATTTCATTCATATACGTACTAGTAGAAAAGCACTGCTAGCTAATTAAACTGATTAATTAAGACGTACGTACGTACAGGCCCTGGATGCTCGTCTTTGGGATATGGGGCAATGACGGAGCTGGGACCATTCAGGGTGGCTAGCGACGCCAAAACTCTCTACAGAAACAAATATGCTTGGAACAGGGGTACGTAATTATATCGTCATCAATTCCTTAATCTCATATTATAAATATGCATGTGATTAATCTAAGGGTCTGGTTGTTAATTAATTGATTAGATTTGATTTGTATATGCAGCCGCAAATGTAGTGTTTCTGGAGTCCCCGGCCGGGGTTGGGTTCTCGTACTCGAATACAAGCACGGATTACACAACTGGGGACGTGAATACATCGCTGGACAACTTGGTGTTTCTGCAGAATTGGCTGCAGAGGTTCCCAGAATATAAAGGCCGTGATTTCTACATCGCCGGGGAGAGCTATGCGGGTCACTACGTCCCTCAACTCGCTCGGAATATTCTTCTCAATAACCTCAGAACCCACGACACTTCCATCAACCTCAGGGGTATTATGGTATGTTCCATCTTTTCCTTTTTAAAAATGGATTGTGATTAAATTAATAGGTTTAAATTTAATAATGAACCGGCCCATTTGATCATCATTCGTTGGAAAGTAGCCCATGAAATGAAGAATAGTTGCTTCGTCGTTTCGCTGTATCGGATCGATCCATGATATGATTCAATCATACCCATTGGTATCATTAATTATTCTGTTTTCTTCCCTTTTTCTAATTGATTTGGTTATAAGAGGAAGACAACACATGGGCATGAGCTGGTGGCAATTTTCTATCATCATTTGACCGTTACTTATGTTTGTTTGTTTGTTTGTTTGGGGAATCTAACATTACACAATCATTTAATTTTGTGTGGGTTCCGTTCCAGCGTCCCCGCAATTATATCTATACATACATTGATGGACCCATTTGTTAGGTTGTTCCATTCAATAGATATCCAATGGCTTTATATTGTATACATTCTATCGTAGTCAAAGTAAAGAAGAGAATACTACTTATTAATAAGAAAATATTATTTAGACTATGGATTTACTAGAGACGAGAAATGATATTATACCCTAAATCATAAATGAGTAAAACCAAGGTCATAATTATTTAAATCCTATAACTTAAAAGATCAATATAGTTATAAACAATGATTGATGATTCTGATTTGTTGAAATATATCAAACATATGAGTTTAAGTTTTAGCATTTAGAATTTATATAATTAGGAAATATTAATGTTTATTCACTAAGAGCTAGGGTATACAATATTCTTAAATATAAATATACTTCCTCATGGTGTCATATACATTTCAAAAAGGCGATTCTGGCTGCCTATCTAGTAAGTATCTAGGTGCTTGATATAGCTGTGGTTCCTCCTGCCATGCATGTTGACAATTAATTAATAATAATGGTTCATCAGATCGGGAACGCGGTGATACATGATGAGACAGACAACATCGGGATGTACGATTACTACGCAAACCACGGCATGGCGTCCCCGGAATCGGTGGCTGCCGTTCACAAACACTGCAACTTTTCTTCCGATTTCACCGACGACCAGACCGACCGATGCATTGCCGCCGACAGGGATTTCAGCATCGCCACCGCTCCCATCTTTCCTTACAACATCTACGCCGAAGACTGCCTGCTCTACAACGGCCCCACTGCCGCGCCCCTACCTTTCTCAGTACGTAATACGCTCCATCCGTCGATTTTTACTATTATCTTCAAAAATATAATGTGACTGACTAGCGCGCGCATGCGCGGTTGATCGATCACATTCACAGATTACGGAGTTTGATGAGTGCAGCGCGTATTACGTGGAGGATTATTTGAACCGGAAAGAGGTTCAGAAAGCAATGCATGCTAATACCACCAACATCCCCCGCCCATGGACTGCTTGCAGTGACGTTGTTCAGTACAGAGAGGCTTCCACTTCGGTTCTCGGCGACATCCACAACTTGTTGGCTAACAACGTCACCGTCTGGATCTTCAGGTACGTACGTAAATCCATGTCAGGTCGTGCCCATGCATGCATCTTGTATGTAACGTACGTAGATGTTGATTATATTATATATGTCCTTTACTTCCTCGCAGTGGTGACATGGATGGAAGGGTGCCCTTTACTTCCTCGCAGTACTCCATCAAAGTTATGAAGCCCACTATTGAGACCAAATTCCATCCTTGGTACATTGCTGGACAGGTACCTACATTCCAAACTCTATCTATCTGCTTGATATATGATTCTCCATATATAATAGTCCTTGTCCTTTTTTCCTTTTTCTGCATCTTTTCGCACCCTTCACTGGATTCTTTGTTTCTTCTTGTGCGTGTGTTCGTGTGGTTGTCAATATTTATATATATAGGTCGGAGGATACACGGAGACGTACAAAGGAGGGCTAACATTTGCAACGGTGCGAGGGGCCGGGCATGAAGTCCCAAGTTATCAACCATTGAGGGCACTTTCACTCTTCATGCATTTCATTGGTGGCACGCCTTTACCAAACAGCAAAAGATTTTAGAACACACGCCATCTCTCATCAATTCATCCTCACTTTCGTATCGCAATTGCAATTAGTATATAGCTTTTACAGAACACCATTCGGCAGTACGTTGCTCTAGCTTCCTTTATTAGCTACACCAATGTTTGCTGACCGAATTCGTTATTTTATATATACTAGTTTTTTTGGCCCGCGCTTCGCATCGGCAGGAAACTAATTATATTCCAAACTTCATCCACTTATTTAGTGATTTACTTGAAATCAAATCATTCGCAAAATCGATCGGATAAGATACATCCTTAGGATTTACGTTCTATCTTAATCATTACTAATCCTTTCATAAACCTTATGTATTGTTTTAACCATTAGGAGATAATTATACAATACATTCGTTTAATTGAAACATAAAAATAACTATCCCACCATGCTTGAGTTTTATGTAATGTATTTGTTAATTTACATAACTTTTATAGAACGTTGTTTTGAAAATCTTCCGCAATGTGTGGTCTAATTATAAAATCAAGTTATAAAAAATATTATATTTTGATTGAATTGTCATGGAAAGTCAACTCATCACGCAATATTTGTGTAAGGCAAATCGATGACATAGTGAATATTTTAATTAATATTTTATTAAACTGTTAGGTAAATATAACTTATATTACATAATATTTGTGTAATACAAATTGATAAATGATAAGAAACCCAACAACTTATAGTAAAGGAATTCCCATTCAAATTCATATTATCAAAGATTACCATAATAAATTTATTAAATTAATAAATGAATTTTCATTGAAACTTATATTACGAAAGACTTACGTAATAAAATTGATACATAATAGATAATTATTCCCCATAAGAGATAACTGTCTTTTTTATAAATTTTACTTAATGTATTGGTAATTTACGATATAATAATGTTGCATAACTACTTCGCAATTTTAGTCTAATAATAACACAAGTTATAAAAACAGTCACATTCAATTACTGTTGTGTAAAGTTGATTGATTTACGACACCTATGTGAAATGTAAGTTGATGAGATTGTGAAATTTATAACATTGTCACATAAATCTTTTAAAAAGTGTGGTTAAAATAATAAATGAAGAGTACCATAGTGTAATGGAAATGGCTAAATTACACGTTTGGTCACTCAAATTATACAAATCTTTCACGTTTGCCATCCGAATTACTTTTCTTTCTTATTCGCCACTAACACTACAAAATTGATAGGTTTAGGGGACGGAAAATTTCGTCTCCAATACATGGGTTTTTCGTCTCCAAATCTTTTGGAGACGAAAATTTTCGTCTCCACGAGTGGTGCCTATAGGTTCCGTCCTCTATTCTTTTGGGAACAAAAAATGAAAGTCGTCCCCAATATCAGGGACACATAGTCGTCTCCAAAAAATAAAATATTTGAATTAATTTTCCGCCATTTTTCTACGAATTTAGGACAATATGTCGTCTCCTATGCAATATCTCAGGAGACAAAAAGTCGTCCCCTGTGAATTATGTTACGATACAATAAGTAGTCCCCTATGAAGCATTTTTTGAGACAACAAGTCGTCTCCTAAGAAGTGTTTTCGAGACATTAAGCCTTGCTAACAACTATCTTTGAAGACTTTTAATCGTCCCTAATGCAATGTTTTCGAGACGACAAGTTGTTCCCAAAGAACCATCTTTGGAGACAACATATCATCCCTTATACAGTGCTATTAGATATACCAATTCGTCTCTTATGAAATGTTTTTCAAGACCATAAGTCGTGCCCTAAAATCTCCTTTTTGGGACAAAGAGTCGTCCTTTGAGTACCACTTCTTGAGACAACAAATCATCTCTTAATACGATTTCTGGAGACAGATAGTCGTCTTTAAGAACTATTTTTCGAGACAAAAAGGTGTCCTTTAAGTAGATTTTCGGAGACAACAAGTCATCTTGTAATAATCGTTTTTGGAGACAATGGATATCCCATATACACTACAATTAGAGACAATGAGTCGTCCTCTAAGTGCTTGTTTTAGAGACATCAAATCATTTTCTATATAAATTTTAATACCATATATCATCCACATTTGCATCAAATTAAATAAAGAAGATATAAGCCAAATATTAATGAAATCAATAGCATCCAAATGTATAAATAGCTAAAACAATCGTACTTAATGTATCATAATTATTCAAACTCATATAAAAATAACTACGTTGAAATTCATAGGGCCAACAATATTGATGAATAAAAATTTGTTTCTCTTGAATCATCATAGCTCAAATTTGATCCATAAAGATGCTTCATGTCCCACTCCCATCTTCCTAAAAAAAATGAAATCATATATTCAAAATTTTAATTAGAGATATAGCCAACAACATAATAGTCCACTAAGAGACGAGAAATAAAGATTGACACAAACCTTGCACAAGCCAAAAATCACTTCTTCTTTGGAGCAGAAGACTTTTTTGTTGGTGAAATCCTCTTTCGATTCAGATTCATCACCTACATTATTTATTTTTAAAATATAAATATTCTCATCATAAAATCTTAAAAAATTCTTTGAATTAAAAAAAAAACTAGCATACCTTCAAATAACGTTGCTCCCTTTCAAACTCTTCTTCAACCCTCTCTTCCCGACTTTGAGTTTCTTCAGACTAATTTTAAAATTTGTTAGCAAAACTAGTACTAACATATAACCAAACCTGGAAGTATAAAGTTAACTTATGCACTAATCGTAAGTGAAGAATATCAATTAACATTTAAGTTTTTCCTACGTCTAATTAAAGGTTGTGGGTTAGCAACTTACTTGAGTATCTTCTGATGATGATGGCATATGTTGTTGACTTTCTACCATTTCCATTAGTTTCTCAAATCTCTGGTTCAACAATAGATTATGCCTTCCTTGATCTTCTAATCTAGTTGTCAGCTCTTGATTTCGTTGAGCTTGTTCTTCTAATCTTGTTGTCACTGCGGCCAATTGTGCCTCGAGCTGGACCACTTTTCCAGCTTGTGTATTGATTGATGCTTGTCTCTTTGACTTGCAACCAGTTCCTGTACCAGGAATACGACCAGAGCGAGTCTTGAAAGCCTCTTTCAACACATTAACATTTGGATTGACTGGTACAACTTCTTCTTCAACTCTTCTTATTTGTTGCTATAAATTGAGGAAAACAAATATTAGCAAGCCTTCATCAATTGTAATGATTCCCTTAATTTACTCATCAATGTAACAAATAAAAACTTACATAAGCTAGGAATGATTCATTATTGACCCATTGAGGCTCGTTATTGTCATTCATAGTTGCATGTTGAGCCATCCAAGCCTCAGAAGCTAATGGTTCTTCACCGGTTTCCTCATCAATCTATCAAGTCAAGTGTAATAAATCAAGTCTAGGATAGCAAAATCAATTATTTAAAAACTGCAAATAAATATATAAAAATTAAGTACTACCATATCATAGTTCACTTGTGCAAACGTAACTGGTCCGGTACATGCAACAAGTGTTTGATTTGCTCGATTCTTTGAATTCCTGTCACTCAATTCCTATATACACATAAGCTTACAAATATGAACATCCACAAAATATTAAGTTTAATGCAAGAACAATCCTATTGTACCAACTAGGAAAAGTACCGGTTGGCATTGCCTTTAAAAATCAACTTCTTTTTGTTTAAGTTTTGCTCCAGATTAACAAAAAGCAAATGAACAAACAAGTTCCAGTAACATAATCTAGTTTCAAACGAATACAGAGAAATCATAAAAAATAAAATAAAGGTAACGCATTTAGATCAATAAAGATAAACAATTCCAACATTGAACAAAGAAAAAATGCTCGACACAACATTCTCAATCTTACCACAAATTCCTTTGATGCAAAGACTTGTAGCATTTTCTCCCAATTTTCAGTTGTTAAACCTTCAGGGATATTTTGCATTCGTTCTTCGTCCGTGTCAAACTTCTTGTAATAATCTGTACGAAGTCTTGATTTCCACTTTCTATAGCTCTCTTTCATCACATGGAAGCAATGTGTCCTGAACTTGAATTGCTTTACTTCAAATGTTTCTGAAGAAGGAGTATTATGCAATTCCTCTAGTTTTTTCAGCTTTGGAGGGCTTTCAGGACTCACATCAAAGTAATCCTAGCAAATAAATGGACATCATTACAAATATTAGTATACGAGCATGAAAGGTAAATGGTGATTATGATAGTCCAATAACTTCTAAAGGCACTTACAGTGACCATGTTCCACAGTTGAGTATTATATTGAGGTAGTATAGTAGATTTCCATCCATACAGAGGTGCCTCAGTTACAGATCGGACACAGTACCCTAGCCACATGCTCAAACGCCTTGCATTTGGACCTACTGGTTCATAATTTTCTTCGCCCGGAGGAAAATATACCAACAGTTTATCGTTTATTGACTTACTTTTCTTCGCCATGTTAAGGCCTTTATATTTGCCTCTAACACGTACACTGCCCTTAGAAGATCCAGTTCCTTCAAGATAGGTACATTCATAACAAAGATTATTATGGACAGATAATTTTGTATTATTATTATCTAGTGGATAATTCAAACTTAAATAACTCAGTACCTTGGGGTGAATTAATCCCATTAGCACCAGATGCATTGAGGTTTGGTTGAGCTTGTGAAGAGGATCTTCTACCACCTTCCAGATTCAGCGGGTCAAGTTCATCACCATTAGATGCATGTAAATTTGATTGATGGATTCTGGAATCCATTGCTGTTTCTGAAACATGTGTTGTGCTATCAATTTCTTATGTGCCTATATGCAGAATTGGACGACTTGATCTGAGTTTAGCTCTTTTTCTCACTGCACCAACCATCCCTACAAACGAAAATTAAAGTGTCATGACTATAATAAATCTATAAGGCTTCTTGGTGTGCTAAGATTGGGAATCAATACACAAGCTCACTTCTAATATCCATTGAAAAGAATGGAGACTCTATTAAGTTTTTTTTTTAAAACATGAAATCATACAATGCCAAGACCTTTTCTAAAAAAAGAAGAGAAATAAACACTAAAATCCAAGCAAGCATTGATCGAGTACTCCAAACCAAATAAATTGAGGGAATCTACCAAACCAAATTTAATTAGAATGCCCCAATCATAGCCGATCAATTGGCTTTCTCTATAGGGCCGCTCGTGATCGAGTACTTGCTGCCGCCTTCTAGAACCAGAACCAAATTGAAACAGAGAAAAGCCCTAAAACAGAGCATCCTCCATCACAAGACATCGAACCTTGAATATGAAAGCGTAAAAATCAAGGGAGAAAAATGAATCGCAATCAACCATGAAATACAGAGACCGGGCTCTTTGATGGTACTCTGTTTCCCAAGACTGGCTTTCCCGAGCTAAATCATCAAACATGAAATATAGAGACCAAGCACTTAGATGGTGCTCTGTTTCAATTACAATGACAAATGAAGGGATTTGATACCTGTAGCCACAAAGGGATTGTTTGCTGCGGAACCAGTGCTCTCCGGGAAGGGGAAATTGAGCTGGGTTTTTCCCCAAACCTAAACCCCTTTTATTTCTTTGCCCAAAAATTTAACCTGCCGCCAAAATTTTACTTTTTTCATTTGGTGCCCGCCTTTGCAATCCGCACACTTCTATAATTCTAAACTTGGCGCCTATTTGTTTCTCTGGCGCAAGGTTGTCAAACCGGTTTATAAAAGTGTGCCGGTTTAGCAAGTGGAATGGTTCAACCGGTGGCACATAACGGTTTGTGTCGGTTCATGCCGGTCAATATTACAAATAAAATTATAAATACTCATATTTAAACATGACATTTAACGTCAATACCTAAACATTTATACTTGAATCCAACAGATAACATCGATATTTAACTTTTATACTCATAAAATAAATAATAAAATAATTTTTATCAATTAAATTCTCTAAAATAAGGTCATTTTACTTAGAGATTCGTATATCGATCATGCCGGTCATACCTGTAGTGTCACGCCGGTTTTATGACCGGTACCGGTTGAACCCGGTACAACCGGTGGCACGCCGGCCGGCGTGACAACTATGCTCTGGCGATAATAAAATTATTTATTTAATCAAATAATAACGTAACGTCCAATCCACAATATTATAAAAATAAACCAATAGCATAAACTATATGAATATACTATAATAGTAAAAAAGAAAATCACACACAAATTAGAACATCTCGTCTTATAGTAATAAAAACTTAATCATCTATATCCTCCTCATCATCATTGTTATCTTCGTCTTCACACACTAGTCGATAATCCTCTTCCTCTAGCACATTTTCAGAATTTTCTATTTGTTGAGTCATTTCAAGATGAATTTCTTCTGGTAGTACATCAGTTCTTTCTAGTCCAACTTCATCATCAAGATCCAATGGTCTTGTTGTCCGTCCCTCTTCATTTCTTTCTTCCTCTTGAAAAGCTTCGTCGTCATCATGGTCATCAACTTCTCCGTCTGCATCAACATCATCTGCCACCACCGCTGGCATGTTGTACAAGTCGCGAGGTCGTACCTTCATCACTATTAACCAATTCGGGTCTCGAGGATCGTCGATGTAGAAAACTTGTTCTGCTTGACATGCTAAGATAAATGGTTCCTCTGTTTTCAGGCGACGATTGGCTCGGACACTTGTGATTGAGTATTCATCTATATTGTACCCACTTTTATGAGTTACATCATACCATTCACACTTGAATAAGTAGACCTTTCTTCTCCCGATATACTGCAACTCCCACACCTCTTCAAGAATTCCATAGTACTCCTTTTCAGGAGATGAATCGTCGCCTCTGCAAAGTACCCCACTATTTTGACTTTTTCGAGACTCTTGTCTGCTTAAATTGTGAAATCTAAAGCCGTTAACAATATAGCCTGTATATGGTGTATAATGACTAATAGGTCCATCGGCCAAATGGAGTAAATCTGCAGGAACGGACCCTTCCAATTGCCTTGCCTACAAGCACAATGAATAAAATAGAAATTAGATTTCAGTTTTGAAATTACTTGAAGAAAATTTTGATACTATACTCACACGGCGTTGGAACCATTTGGGAAAGTCAGAGTTATAACTCTTGATCAGATCAAGGTCTCGCATTGGAGGTAAACCATTTTTGAATTCCCTGTAAAATCAACAAGGGTTACTAAGCATATAAGGACACTCATACCATACAAGAAACCAACTTTCAATTTCAAAGCACTTACTGGATGTAAGGAAATACTTCTTTGCAATTGTTTAGGACGTATATGTGAGCCTTCCTCCTCCAATCACCATCGAATATTGTGGGGGCACCTTTTCCAAATGGACGACCAACTACATCGAATATATCGATTTCCCCATTTCTACCAGAACTTCCATTGTCATCATTATTTCTTGGGGCCTTATTAAACTTGGTATCAACCCCATCAAGATACCTTGAACAAAAAGTCAAGCACTCATCAATTCGGTATGCTTCTGCTATGGAAGCCTCTGGATGAGCTTTATTACGAACATAAGACTTAAGGGTTCGCAAAAATCTTTCCACTGGGTACATCCATCTTGTTTGCACTGGCCCAGCAATCCTAGCCTCCATAGGCAAGTGAACACATAAATGAACCATGATGTCAAAGAATGAAGGAGGGAATATCATCTCTAGCTTGCATAAGGTAATCACAATTTGACGTTGAAGACGATCAAGATCATCATCACTTAGACTTTTGCAGCACAAGTCTCGAAAGAACGCACTTAATTCAATCAATGGCTCACATACTTCCTTTGGTAAAAGCCTCCTAATTGCTAAGGGAAGCAGTTGTTGCATGAACACATGACAATCGTGACTCTTCATGCCGGATATTTTTCTCTCCTTCATGTTGACACATCGAGAAATTTTTGATAAAAATCCATCGGGAGTCTTCAAATTTGTTAACATTTTGCACAATGATTCCTTTTCTACCTTCGATAGGGTGTAAAGTGCAACTGGAACTTGAGTTCTGCCCTCAATAACCTTCGGATGTAGTTCTTTCCGAATCCCCATTTGTACCAAGTCCAACCTACTTTTGTACGAATCTTTAGTCTTCCCCTTGATGTCCATTATGGTACCCAACACATTATCACAGACATTTTTCTCAATATGCATTACGTCAAGATTGTGACGGATAAGAAGGGTCTTCCAATAGGGTAGCTCAAAAAATATGCTCTTTTTCCTCAAATTTTCATATCTGTTAGTAGCATCATAGTTTATCTTCGTATCCTTTCTGAAAGGTAATTGCCTGAAAGTCTGACATTTCAATAACACCTCATCACCTGACAATGGATTTGGTGCCTTTCTTTTTTCCCTTTCTCCATTGAATCCTGTAGCATTCTTTCTCCATTTGTGATTAGGTGGCAACCACCGCCTATGACCCATGTAGCACATCTTACTCGAATTGCCCAAGTGTTGGGCACAAGTGTCCTTATGACATGATGGACAAGCCTTATAACCTTTAGTAGTCCATCCTGACAAATCAGCATATGCCGGGAAGTCGCTAATAGTCCATAAAACAGAAGCACGTAACTGAAAGTTCCTTTTCGAATGGGCATCGTATGTGCTCACTCCATCCACCCATAATTCCTTCAATTCCTTGATCAAGGGTTGCAAAAATATGTCAATGCCCATACCAGGGCTGCTAGGGCCGGGTATAATCATTGACATGATAAAATATGGTTGTTTCATGCACAACCAGGGGGGCAAGTTGTATGGGACAAGCACCACTGGCCAAATACTATGTTGGGAGCTCATGTTGCCAAAAGGTTGGAACCCATCTGTTGCTACACCAAGTCTAACATTTCGAGGGTCACTTGCAAAAGATGGATGTTTCTCATCAAATGACTTCCAAGTAGGAGTATCGGCAGGATGTCGCATTATTCCATCATCAGTTCGCCCTTCTTTATGCCATCTCATTTGGGAAGCCGTTTTACTTGACGTAAATAACCTCTGCAGTCTTGGCGTCAATGGAAAATACCGTAACACCTTGTGTGGTTTCCCCTTCCCATGCCTATCGAAAGAAGCATATCGAGGCAATTCGCATACTGGACAAGATGTTGCATCTTTATGAGGACCCCAATATAACGTGCAATTGTTCTCGCAAACGTCATACTTCTCATAACCAAGACCCAAATCAGCAATGTACTTTTTCGCACTACTGAAAGATTCAGGCAACATATCCTTGCCATTCGGAATCAGTTCCCTCATAATGCTAAGTAAGTCGTCGAATGACTTATTAGTCCACTTGTGTTGACTTTTGAGATGGAGCAATTTCACAATCGTGGCTAGTTTAGTGTGCTTGCAATTTGAGTGCATTTTCTCATTAGCCTCTTTGAGCAAGCGATAGAAGGTAGCAGCGTCTTTATTAGGCTCTTCTTCTCCGATGCCAAAATCTTCTTCGTCTCTTCCCATGCCATACACATCATGTATAAGTTCATCCATATCGTCAAGTGTATCACCAGAAATAGGATCTTCATTAACTTCTCCACTCGTGGGTGCCCTCGTATTATTACTTGCAACTTCCCCATGGGAATACCAAGTTGTGTAATGGCTTAAGATTCCATTTTTCAATAGATGAAACTTCACTTCTGAACGATTCTTATAAGCGACGTTTCCACAGTTTGTGCACGGACAACGAATGACTTGTTGATTGGCAGAATGAGAAAACGCGAACTCAATAAATTTATTGACGCCGTCGATAAATTCAGGTGCTCTCCTATTTCTTATACTCATCCAATCTTTATTCGGAATCATTACCTATTAAGAAAAACAAAATACAGTAAGAATCAACAAGGCATGAAGTTTCCATTAGAAAGGAAAGCAGTAAATAGTAAAGGACAATGACGTATTTAACAATAAAGCAATAGAAAATAAATAATCTCTAACCTTAAAAAAGTAAAGTGACGAAAAGTAAAAAGAAAAGGATAAATAGGGTTAATTGCATCTCATGTCACTTAAGTTTTGGTTTGGTTGCACGTTAACCATTTAGATTTGTTTAGTTGCAACTAAAACACTTAAGTTCAATTTTCGTTGCACCGTTATCTTTTCCATCCAAAAACTTAACGGCGGTATGAAAAATGTAATTTTACATGCCACATGCACATTCCAGCTCAGCTTTGGATTGCTAGCTCACAGAATCTCATACTAATTTAACAATGATAAAATTAAAAGCATTGAAAGAAAAGAAAAAATTCAAATCATTGTAGAAGTTAAAATAAATAGTGTCCAATGCCAAACTCCCCTGTTCCAATACACGAAAAACAGAGCATCAGCTTATCTCTCTCTACGTGAAGCCGAAGGAAGTCGAGCACAAGTTTCCCGATGGCTGCCGATCTTGCTGATGCGGAGGCGACCGAGGTTGATTACAAAGAAGCGGAGGAGGCGACTGTAAAGCTCCTGCGGTGGAGCAAGCTGTCTAAGCTTTCGCGATACCGGAACAGAAGCGGATTCCGCGTCAACGACGAGTAGTCTGTTACTCTCACCTTCCCGGGACTAATTCTGCGCGCAATTTAACATCGGACAGAAGCGACAACGGCGGTGGGGATGGCGTTAACCCCGACTGAAGTGGGGCTGATCCGTTGAACTATAGCGTTTACTTGACTGATCCGATGGACTCCACATTTATCATCTGAAGTCAAAGGTCAGTTAATACAGGAACCCTATTTTTGTTTCTGATCAACACCATGGATGCTTTATACGAATGAAGTGGAGCCATAATTACACTCTGTATTTCTAATCCTATTTATGGTGCTAGTAGTCCGGTTCTCTGTTTAGGGCAATTAGGGTGATGCCTTCTGCAAGAATCCCACAGGTCTACTGGGGTGATGCCTTCTGCAAGAAACTATTATTTTGAGTTTAATACAGAGAAACTAATTTTTGTTATTACAAATGTACTGCAACTTTCGATCTTTCTTCCCTCCATGTCAATCTATCCGAAGTACTTTACTTTTCCGACTGAGTTTTCATTTTCTGAGATTTTCTTTCAAGTTTAACCCAATTTTTGTTAGTCAACAATCCAAAGCTGAGTTGGAATGTCCATGTACCATGTAAAATTACTTTTTTATACCTGCCGTTAAGTTTTTGGATGGAAAAGATAACGGTGCAACGAAAATTGAACTTAAGTGTTTTAGTTGCAACTAAATAAATCTAAGTGGTTAACGTGCAACCAAACCACAACTTAGGTGGCATGACATGCAATTAACCCAGGATAAATACATCAAGCAAAGCTAATGTAGGAAAAGTTAAGACGCAATTTATAGCACCAAAAGAGAGCTACGCACCAAAAGAGAACTATACCTCACAAGGGAGATATATTTGTCGTATCAATATTCTGAAGTAGATTGTCTTTGAGCAAAGCATCCATTACTTATTTATAGGGTACCTATATAAAATCAAAAACTAAAAAGGAAAACAGATCATTAATTCCCACCGCCATATTATCCTGATTCGGTCAGAAGAAAAACTCCACTTCCACATTTAAAAAGGAATTACATAATCCAAACAAACAAGGATAGAAAGCACCACTAATAAAACCATAAAGAAATTTATAAAATAGATGAGAAAACGTGTTTGTCCCCAAAGCTAGAATGAGACTAGGAAAAAGAAAGAATCCCGCTCCATGCCAAAATGTGTCGATTTTTTCCACCAATCAAAGTAGGAAAGGGAGATAATTAGTTCAGAAAAAAAAAAGATAGTTAACTTCAAATCAATATACTAATTATCAGCTGGGGGAATTTGGGATTTCTTTGCCCCCAAATTAATATTTTAATGAAAATCAACATTCGTTTCCGCATACAGTCCTTTGGGAACAACTTAATAAATTAATAAACTAATTAAATATATATTAGTTGATTTATGGAGACGATGTTAGCTGCTTGTTCCTAAAGTCACTTAATATTATAGTTCCGGAGATGAAATAAGTTAATCGTCTCTTATATTTGTTCCCTATAGTCATTAATTTTGTAGTGTAACTTTACGAATCGTTTCACGGTTGGTCACCGGCCGTTACACTCCGTTAAGTTTGTCCTATGTGGCAGTCAACTATAAAGTTTGACCGTTAACTAGATGACGTGGAAATTAAAAAAAAAATTTCTTTCCACCTCATCATTGCACTTATTTTGTCTATATAATTTATCATATTAATAATTTAAGGAAATTTAATAAATTACAAAAATGGGCAAATCTAATAAGTAAAGTAAATTGAAACGAATTGAACCTGAGTGGGATGAGGTAAACGCTTTGGCGCTGATTGTTTCCTTGTCGTACAAAACTTTAAAACAGAAGAAGAAATCCCCCTCTAGTATAAACTAAAGAAGTTAGAGAAGCACGTGAAATGCAGTCCAGATTAAACTATACTATGACTCCAACGACGTCGTAGTAGCGGGAGCTGCAGGGTCGTCGGAGGACTCGCCTGAGTGCGCGGTGTGCTTGTCCAAGGTCGAGGAAGGCGACCAAGTCAGGGAGCTGGCATGTCGCCACGTGTTCCATAGAGTTTGTCTCGACAGATGGTGTCAGTCGTCGCTCACAAGGAGGCGCCCCACGTGTCCACTCTGCCGCCGTTCCTTGACCTGCAGGGGGAGCTCAGCGGCGGCGGAACCGCCGGAAGTGCTGCTCTTCGATTTCGCTAGCTTCGTGTCCTCCGATCGTGACACCAGGGACACTTGGTGGCTCCGCTAGCTATAGCTTGATACGTTGACCCGCGTAACATGCAAATTAATGTAAACCGCAGTATATAGATAGCTTGAAGATGAAAGGGCGGAGATTCGGGTCCGGTCGCGGGCGGAGATGGATTTGGAGATGAAAGGGGTGAGGAGGAGAGTGACACGGATTCCTTTGGGGATTAGGCGCTTGGAGAATTCGATGATCGGGTTGATGTGGCCTTGGGTTGGAAACGGAACCGCCAACGTTAAAATGGGCAAATCAGAAACGACAGAGTCAGAGGATTAGGTCTGGAGACGGCCAGGCATGAATGATGCAGCTATACCTAGCTAGCTGGAGATCAAACAGATCGATGGAGGATACACATAGAAATATAGTAATTAACATAGTATATGCAGCGAGCGAGTAGCATCTTCATTTCATCTAGAGATCGATTATGCAGAATCAGTGGTGGGTACGTGGATCTGATCTGAATCTGATGAGAGGTTACGCATTTTAATTTTATTCACAGCCCTCCCCCGGCCTCGTGCCATCTGATCCAAAACCACGTATTGTACACAAATAAAATAATGAAGCAAGCAAGCAAGTGGGGAAACGGACTGCATTTCAATTTACTTTACTTATTAGATTTGCCCATTTTTGTAATTTATTAAATTTCCTTAAATTATTAATATGATAAATTATATAGACAAAATAAGTGCAATGATGAGGTGGAAAGATTTTTTTTTTTATTTTTTTTTAATTTCCACGTCATCTAGTTAACGGTCAAACTTTATAGTTGACTGCCACATAGGACAAACTTAACGGAGTGTAACGGCCGGTGACCAACCGTGAAACGATTCGTAAAGTTAGTGGCGAATAAGAAAGAAAAGTAATTCGGATGGCAAACGTGAAAGATTTGTATAATTTGAGTGACCAAACGTGTAATTTAGCCTAATGGAAATTGTTGAAAAATGGTAAATGATACCATTAAAATTAGTAAAAATTAATTCATCTTGCGATAAAAATGACTTAAGTTCATAAGTACAACTTAAAAAAGGCTTACAATAAAATTGATGTATGGCATAAGCCCTCTATGTGAACAGTACCTCCGGGACAAACTTACCACATTTATGTTGGCTACTTTTTCGTAAGCACCAGTGCATGTTGTTTGGGCTTTTAATTAATTGATAAATTTTTATTTTATTCGAATGAGTTAGGGTTGCTAACCCAATAAAGGGTCAATTGTAACATCTCAATCTTTTTGTGACTAAAATATTGTTCTCTTTCGGCTTATTTGCACGATTTTGTTTTTGGGCGTATAATAGTGACCACTTGGAAAGTCCTTGTATCCCGGAGCTCTCACTTTTGAGTTCCATTGAGGTTCTACATATATAGGAGGATTATGTGTTGCTAAGAATGCAAAATGAAGTGTAGTGTTGGAGTGAGTTCTTGAACAGAGAGCATTGGTCGTTAAATGTATAGGTGGCAAGTGTTTACTCTCTAGTACCCCCTCAAAAAGAAAAAAGAAAAAAAGAAAAGAGAAATTGAAAAAGAAAAGAAACGAGAAACGAAAAGAAACGAAAAAAAGGTAATAAAACGGGGTAAATAAAGTAGAGACTGCCACGGAAAATCAAAGTGTATGCTCTAGGAGGGGTTTCTTGGCACTCAAGCCAATGAGAACTTTTCATTTGCCCATTTTTTATGCAATTGGATGTCATTTGTGGTGGATGCCAGAATTGGTTGAGACGGTTCGAGTGTCGATGCCCAAATAGTCATTTGAGATTCACAGCCTTGTGCCTTTTGAAATGTCCCCTAGCTATCTTTGTAGGTTGAACTATTACCTAGGTTGAGAATAGTTTGCTTGGGGACAAGCAAACGTCTAAGTGTGGGGGAGTGATTCGGGCCTAATTGTACATGTTGTACCCCCATTTTTCTTAGGCGTTTGTGGCAATTTCGCTCCTAAAAGGGTAGTTTTACGCTAGGTTTCTTGTGTTTTAGCGTGTTTCGAGATCTAACCGGTGAAACCAGCCCCGGAGTCGAAAGTTGGAAGAAAATGTGCAAAGAGGAGTAAACAACCTGTGTTCAAGGTCTGCCATTGGAGTTCACGGTCTTACAGGACCGTGAACTGGAGCCAAAATTCGTGAATCGCGAAGCGTCCAAGGCGAATCCAGAGGTTACTGACGCTGAGTGAGTTCACGGTTGCTAAGACCGTGAACTCTAAGCACAAATCATGAACCGTGGATGTGAAGCGGTGCGTTTTGGTCTCAGCACTGAGTTCACGGACGCGTTTCAATGTTCACGGCCGTGAAATGAGGTCTAAGACTGTGAACTGCTCAACGCGTCCTTGAACTCAGCTCTAAGACCTTGAACTGAGCCTGATTTGGATATAAAAGAAGAGGGGAGCTGAAGGAGAAAATGGGAGCTGGTTTTTGGAGAAGAATTGGTTTCTTTCTCTAGAGTTTTGCCCAAAAACACCAAAGGGGAGTTCTAGTGAGAGTGAGAGAGAGAGAGAGAGAGAGAGAGAGAGTGCTAGAGTGATCTTGGAGCATCATTGGAGGCTTGAGTGGAGATTCAAGCCTAGAAGAAGAAGAAGATCTTGACCTCAAATTTGTAATCCTCTCCTCTCTCTAGAAACTCACTCTTTTCTCTTGGGTGTTGTAGATCCCTAACTAATACTTTGTAATTACTAGTTTAGATTGAATGATTATTTATGGGTATTGTTTAATTCAATGATTGAGTTATTATTCATGTTGATTGTGCATGATCGTGCTTAGCAATCTAAGGGTTGTGCATGTTTTGTGCTTAGCATCCTTAGGTTTGTGCATTTTGGTGCTTAGCAACCTAATGATTGTGCATAATTGTGCTTAGCACCATTAGATTTGTGCATGTTGGTGCTAGCAATCTAATTAGCCACTTTAACCTAGCTTAGAGAGGAAAATCCCCCTCCCAAGAGAGACTCAATCGAGTTGGTTTTCCTTCAGCTTTTTAAGCTACCTAACTAGGTTAATTTAGGGCAACCCTCAATGTTAAATTAAGCAAATTGGTTAATCGCGTTAAGCCGTCTGACCTTTGAGTTGAATGAGGGAGTAAGTTAACTACCAATTGCCTAAACCGAGAGGGTCGAATGACACGGCCTTTAATGCTTACCTCGGTTTAGCAATTGAGATTGTGGTCTACGACCACATATGCATCGCTCTGCGGTTCGCAGTTACCTGGCCCATAGCAATTGTTTCAATCCAACAAGTCACGGTAGCTAGTTAGGGGCAAAGCAACTCCCGGATGAAGCTCCCTTAGTTAGACTTTCCTTTATTTACTTTTCCTTGCGAGTTTAGTTTGTAGTTTTGTTAGTTTTAAAACCCAAAATCGTTTTGTTAGATAACAACTTAAGCAATTGAAGTAGGGGTACATGGACCAGCCCGAGTCGATATTTAAATACTTGCTCTATACTGCACCCGGCTAGAGTTTAAAAACTTGGACTCTAGTCGGGATTAATTTGTGGTATAGTTTCGTGCGAGTCAAGTATAGAGCAAATATTTTTTGAATTATTAACCCGGGTGGTCTATCTATCCTTACTTCAATGAACTAATTGTTATCTAGCAATCGAATTGTTGTTTTAACTACTTAACCAAACAAGCATGCGCCTAAATCAAGATTGAATTCAATTGATGAAACTTTACTTGGATGAGTTTCTCCATAGTCCGATGTTGAGGTTGACGTTGTGATACCCAAGCACGATTCATACTTAGCATATACCGCATAGAGCTCTAAGCTAGATAGGAGTCTCTATTCGAGTTGTCATATCCCGCGCAACTACACTACCTTGAGAGTTGTATCGAACTACCAATCTAGGCAATTGGGCCTACCAAATCCACTCTACATATGGGTAAAGACCCGAAAATGATGCAAAGAGTTTAATTACACTTGTTCATAGACCCCGAGCATTGATTAGGCAATGCTCTAAATTAATCATGTGAAGATATTCTCACACGTCGGTTAATTAGCCCCAAACTGAGGGAAGGGATCAAGAACCTTCAATTTTTAGTAAAAGTGGATGCATGTGGGTACATTAGTGTTAACTTCCAAAGGTCATTGAAGACAAATGAGCCTTTTTTGTTAGCAAGTCAAGTGTCTCAAGATTTCATGTGCCAGGTAGAAGCAACCAAGATTGGCATCTCGTTGTCAAGATGCAATTTCGTGATTTGTATGCATTGGCTTCAAATACAAACACAGTGAACTTGGAAAGTACAGGAGGTGATGCGTAGCTTTGTTCACATGTCATCGTGGTATGTTCTTATTAATTAATGCATCTTTGAATACTGTTGGATTCGCATATCTTACTTCAGTTTGAGAACAATAATTATGGAATGAGTTATATATTGTGCTTGAGATGAGGGTAAATTCCCAAAATAATGTTTTTTTAATTTACCACCACCAATATGGCGGTTTTAAACATATTTACATCAATATTGTGCTTCGGAGAAAGAAAATACCAATCCCGCCCTAGACTTAGGCAGTGCCACTTTTTGAGATTTTTAGTTTAAAAATGGGCGGACACGCCCGAATCTGAGGCGGGAGTATTTAAATCCAAAGCGGAGTCGCCCTTCTCTACACACCACTCATATCCTTATCTCCTTCGCCAAAAACCACCGGCGCAACAACTACTTCCTCTTCCAGCAGCGGTCCCGCCCGACTCCAAGCGACCAAGCCCAGACCGAAGGCGGCTTTGCCCCCAACTCATACAGACCCGTCGGAGACACAGACGACCTTGCCTCAGTCCCGCGAACCCGCCCCGTCTTTCCTCTTCCCTCGCTCGCGCCTCCCACTATCCGGCAGATCTGTTGGTTTTGTGATTTGGGGAGAAGATGTCCGACAAGGAAGCGGTTCCCGGCAGAGTAAGGGGGAGAGGGCGGCAAGCTCGTGGCCTCGCCGTCCGATACCGAGGTGTAGATTTCGCCGGCGAAGGCTGGATTATCGCTGGTGGCAAGTTTTATTATGTTTTGCTAATTTTTTTAATTTTTGTTTTTTCAGTTCCTAGG